ATATCTGAAAATATTGTATTCTAGAAGTTAAAAAAATGTTTCATTACGTATAAATTACTAAATTATTAATTTAATACTAAATATTCTCCTCTAGTTATTAAAAGAAAATTTTTGTTTTAATACTTTAAGTTGGTCGATTTGCATGGGATTAACATAAAAATGTATGTTTTGTAATAACTTTAAATATATAATTTTCCGATACAACGATATATAATTTCTTAATTAACTGTTGCACCCTCTTGGTCAGGTAGTTTGCCTAAAATGAGGCAGCGTAGGGGTTGGGCCGTGCGGCGCGCGCCGCACCGTGTGAAAGCTCCCATAAGAACCAATGCACCTTCACCGAGTTGTCCGGCGTGGACGCCGCGCGGCGCTGTCGTCCGGCTCAAGGTGCATCCGGCGGTAACTCGCGCGCCGTGCGGCGAATTCGCCGCGCGGCGCGCGCCGGACATAGTGTGAAAGGACTCATATGCTCCCATAGCCCTACGCCGGATCCGGCGGGCGCCGCACGGCGCGCGCCGCGTCGTGTGAAAGAGGCGTGACTTTGCCTGAAAATAAACGATTTTCATTTAATTTGATTTCAAGCCTTGGCACAGTTAATCAAGTAGCCAAGACAAAACATTACCGTATAAAAACTATTTTATGAATATGCTCTTTCAATTGTTGTAATTAACAGCTGTTTCAATCAATTCAAATAAAACCCCACCTGTTGTACAATTATATTTTTGCACAATTATATTATAACTTTTTGCACGATTATATTTTAAGCATCCTTTAATTAGGCCTAACGAGCGTTGTTACATCCGTTTACAACCTTATTATTTTTTGAAAAATATCGTAGCCTACTTATGAATTTGATGTTTTATACTGGTTCCCAGACAGCACGTGAGCTTGGACTAAACTTGGTTTTTACATATTTCTGAATTGGTATGACAAACTTGGAGTTTGGAACCCACTACAAATTTAAAACAGCTTTGGTTAAGTGAACTTAAAACTAAACTTGTTTTATTTACATATATAACCTGATTGGCCAAGTCTACAATTTAAACACCTAACCAGACCCAAGACAAGCTTGTTCATGTGAGTCTAAAGTGAGCAGTGCCATATGACAAAAGCATTTTCCCTCCACCCCTACCCACCACACGCTTCTAAAACCTGTTTCTTTGTGCTGAACCACCATTTTTGTTGGATTTAGACTTCCTCACTCTCAGTTGTCAGTTCTCACTTATGTTGTTTTGGTGTTGTGAGTTGCTCGTTTCGTTACTAGTTGTGAGTTTTGTTTGTGGTTTTGATACCAAGACGAAGCAAAGAAGAATTAAGGGATTCCTGTAAAGGTAAGATTTACACTCCATTCATTGATAAAAAATATACTTGTGTTGGTTAGTCTATGATGTTATAAGTAAGCTAAGTTAAGCAAACAATTAATTTCATTGCATCAAGAACCCCAGAATTTTGTTTATAGCCTAAACCTTTTGCACTTACCTTTGTCATACTCAGCGCTTCACTGAATCGACAACGCGTCTACTGCTGAACTCTACAGAACAGTGCCAAAATTTGTGTTTAACCCCTAGTCTACAGATAAAAACAGGCCAAACCATTAGTTTATGTTGTTTGTATTCAGTAGCCTTGTTGATAAGTGTAAGTTCCTTTATCACATGCTGTAATCATTATAAAAGTAAAACAGTAAGAAATAAAAGTTTGATAACAATTTTAAAAACAAGAGTAAGTTAACACCCTGTGTTTTCAACACCAACAAAAATGCCAAATAATCAAATAATTCTAATAACAAATAAAAATAATGAAAAATTATTTAAATAATAAATTTTAATAAACCAAATAATTCGTCTAATGCAATTGTATTTTTTATAGATCTTCTGAAGCAGGCGGTGGAGTTGATGGATTCAGAAAAGAAGTTGAAGGTGAAGTGGAAGATAGTGGGCATTGTATTTATTATATTAATAAATTGTCTTGAAATGTGAATGTCTTGTTTTCTAAACCTTACAGATCATATATAACCAATATTTTTTCCAAGATCACTTAAGACTCATAAAATAGGCTTCATTTATTGATCATAAATGTTTCTTGGTAAAAAATTAATTATATTTATGTTTAAGAAAAAAGGTGGGCTAGCAAATGAATGGTGTGAAACAGCTTATATGTTAAATAGGTATAAATTATATTACTTTTATTACCATTGACTATATAATTATAGACAATGCTATTACTATAGCCTATTATAAAATTATTATTATTATCTTTGATCATGACAGTAAGTATATAAAACTTCGTACCAAGTCTGAGTGAGTCTATATGTGTGAGCTTGTTTGCCCAAGTCTAAAATGTGCTAAAACCAATTCCAATATGAGTCTAGGCCAAGTCCAATATGAGCCTACAATTGGGCTTGGGTCTCCAAGTCCAGAATGAGCCTGTTTAATTTATCAGTGTGAGCTTGTTTGCCCAAGTCTAAAATGTGCTAAAACAAATTCCAATATGAGTCTAAGCCAAGTCCAATATGAGCCTACTAAAATTGGGCTTGGGTCCCCAAGTCCCGAACAAGTCCATAATGAGCCTGCTTAATCTACCGGTGGGCAGATTTTCCCATCCTTGTTAGTCAGTCGTGACGTCATCGTTGATTCGATCGATTCGGGAAGTCGATGTAGTTCTAAATATCGTCTATCGATATTTGATCGTTATTCACGTCGAATTCGTTCGTTAACATCATGGTTATGGTTGTAGGTGTAGGTTGTTAATGTAGGTTTAGGTTGTTTCTCTACAATCTATGAATATGAAGTAGGATTCTGATAGTCACAGTAGAAAACCCTTTTAAACTAAAAGTTATAGAACGGTCTGTAATTTAAATTTACCGCTCATATGCAAATCTAATTGTATTATCGGTAATAAGGAGCTTATACCCAAGTTGGACTTGGCTTTGTGACCAAGTAAAAGATAAACAAGAACTTAAAGCTTGTATACAGGTTATGGCCAAAATCCTGCTTACAAGCGCGCCTGCAAACAAATTTGCTATAGATACTTCGGTTTCTTGCAATTTTAGTAGAAATTGGTCGAATGTATTAACAAAGTGTAATTTCGATTCCACTTGATAACCATCATTATTATCTTCTGTTGCCTCCATTTAAAATCCTCTAATAGGCCGAGGCCTAAGTTAATACTTAAGTCATATAAATATAAAAATGTATAATTTAAGTTAAACTAGGCCTATCCAGAAAACAACTTCTCGTAAGTTAAGTACGGGTAAGTTATAAATTAAAAATTAAACTAGTGAGTTATATCTAAAAACAAGATTAACAACTTTTCTTTCGTTACGCTTGTCGACATTACATGCAATCCAACCAAACAAAAACAAAGAAAGAACCAAAGAACGAGAATCTAGAGTCCTGAACCTAACCAAGCAAGAGCAAGATTCGAGAAAGAAGATGGAAGCGTTTCGTTTCAGCGATTCTCTAAGTAATAGTAAAGTAAATTAGGGGTATTGTATTCGATATCGACTATTGACTTGTGGAGCTATGCGATACCAGTACGATAATTGCATCGCATCAACGATGACGTCACGACTGACTAACAAGGATGGGAAAATCTGCCCACCTAATCTACCAGACCTGTTTTGTATCCATCATTCCAAGCTTAGAGTAGGTTTGTGACCATGAGTTCACTGTAGGTTTGGGGTTGGGACTTGGGTTGGACTTGGGGAGCCAAACCCATAACAAGTTGAACAACTGCCAACTTCGGTCTCTAAAACAAGTCAAAACCAAGCCTACAGACTTTGGTGCCTGAGTCTAAGCCAGGCTTGGGAACTTGGGCCAATGGACTTGGAACAAGTTCCCAGCAAGCCCATTGTGCTGTCGGGGTTGTGGTTCGTTAACGCTGTAAGTCCGTGAATAGAGAATAGAGAAAAGTAAAAAACATGTAAATTTAGAATTCCCATGTTAATCTTGTGGAGAAAAAATAAACTCATAAAGTTTGTTTGTTTATTTTGATTCTCGCCTCACTATTTTGTTTTAAATGGACTTTCCACGCGTTAATTTAGTCCGGAAAACAGCTGTTTGCCGCCTGCTCAATCAAATGGAGTTTCATTAGTACTACGACGGTAATGACACCAGCTGATTATATTTTGGTAATGAGGCTATAAACAATAACGGAGAGGTTATGAGTAGGCCTACTGATTTGATTTGGTCTTTTGGTGTTTCTCGTTTTTCACCCTCAAAACATAAAATTTCCCAATTTCTCTAAAGACAATTTTGAAGAGCGTAAAAAGAAACAAATATTGTAGTATATTGAAGTGTTTTTTTATGGTTATTTGTTACGGATAAAATGCAAAAATTGTAAATTTAAAATCCCCATGTTATTCTTATGGAGAATAAGTAAACTGTTGTATTTTGCTTGTTTATGTATATATTTTGAACAAACTTGGAAAATATATTTCTTTTATACTAAGCTATTAATGTTTTACTAAAAAAAAACACACACACTTTATTGCCCTCCCTGTAGCAGCAAACCTAGGTAGGCTACTCGTTAAACCCAACGTTATTGAAACAGATTTAATTGAAAATCAATTCAGGCAAATGGAAATTCGCTTAGTCTGCAGGTTTGCTGCGGCGGGGGTATTTTTATTGTTATCTTAGTTTAGAGTAGTAAGGCGAAAAATATCGAACGTTACTCATCCAAGATGTGTTTACCGTACTCGTAGGGGGGAAAACCATACTCGTCTGGTAAACACTTATTTTCCGAACTAGTAACGTAATTTACATACTTTTTTTCATAGTAAGCAACAGAATTAAAATTTTACCAAAAAATACACTTAATTGCCTTTCCTGCAGCAGCAAACCTAAGTACTCATTAAACCTATGCCTATTTTATTATGTTTTTCCCCCTATTTTATTAGGGAATAAAATCTGACATTTGTAAATAAATATTTATGTGGAAATCCAATCGGGCAAATGGAAATTCGTTTAGTCTCCACGACTGTACGTTTATTGCAGCGGGGGTGTTTTAATAACAATCTTTGTTTATGTTTCGAGCCAGTGATGTAATTTGTTTATTTTCCATATATGTTCGTCTCGTATGTCCGTGGTAAGAACGACTCTATGGCTCCTTCAGTAAGGATACACTTAATGTTTTCTCATACTGTTTCCGACGGGTCGAAATTATTCCCTGAATGGTGCGGAAACGCGGACCCGTTGCAGTCCGTGGCATTCTTGATAACAAAGTAGGGCGACTGGCGAGTGTGGTACTGTTACTACGGTCCCGCTACTCCGCTACTCCCCGCTAGTCCGTCACTTCACTAGTCCGCAGTCCGCTAGTCGTCCGCTAGTTTCAGCGTCTCAGTGCAAGTGTATCTGCCGAGTCGCGTACTTACCCGGCGTTTTGTGCTTGTCATTTGTTTAGGTTTGTTGATCAATTTTGGAAGGATACTGTGGTGCTTTGTACTTGAAGTATTGTATTAATTAATTTTTGTGAATTTGTATTATTGTTTTTAAAGATCAGTGTTTTATACAAGTATTTTTGTTGTACAGTAAATTGTCTACTTAGACATTTAGATTTGAATGGGTTAACTATATTAGTGTTGAATATTGTGTAGTATATAAGCTTTAATGGTTTTTTACTTGTTGTAAATATATTTCTGATTTATATAAATCGTTTTGTGACAAATTCTAAAATTTCTGCCGTATTTTCTCTAAAATAATGCCTAGTCAAAGAAAAGCGTGCAAAATTATTTACTAATATTTTTTACTCCTTTTTTCATTATTTTGGACCTTTTTACTAATAAAAATACTAGGTTAAATTAATTACTGACTCATCAATTTTATTTTCATTATGAAAATTTCAATATAAATATTTTGGTTGGTTTTGTAAAAACAATATTTTTAATATTCCTACAAAGATACAGGTAATCTTAACTAACAAAAACTTATAAGCTTTGCTAGTGGATATTTTCCAAAAAATTAAAAACACGAGGTTTTGAAGTAAAAATGTGATTTTATAAACCTACACAATCTTATAATTTATATTTAACCTAATTTACCACTATTTTGGTTATAAAACTTATTTTTTATCTTCACAAATGGGATTTGTGCTCTCTAACTCGTTTATTTTTTTTGTAAATATTTTTTGTATATATATTTTTTTCTGTTCCTTTTACATGGATGATTTTTTGTGATTGGAATGATAGACTTTTATTTATCTGCTCTTTGATTGAGATATCTCGGAACTCATTTAATAGTTTATTTTTCATAAATAAGTAGTTATTATGACTTTATTACTTAAAATTATTTGTAAAATTTTTTTTGTAGATTGATAGACAAAAGTTATTCAATGCTATGAAAAGCAAAATAAAAGGTTTAACTTTGAAACAAAATATAAATACCAACATATAATAATAAATATAAAGCTAATAATCCAAATTAAACAAGGGGATATTGCCTAATTGCTCCCTTGTATATTTTGGTGGCTTAGATATGCATGAGAGCCAAGAGAAAACATTCAAATTAATTACAATTCTTCATAATGAAGCAAAGCTGAATAACTTAGATAAAGATCAAAGGCATGTTAACAAGAAGTAATGAGTTTAAAGATGCCTAACACATGCAACATGAAAGTGCTTTAGTAGCATTATTTGCCATTATGTTAAGTTTGTGTAAATATTTATTAATTTCTTATACGTTTTGTCTTTTACAGATGGCAGGAAGTAAATGGTCTTCATGTTTAGTCTCCATATCATCTCTTTTAATATTGCTAACGGTAAGCAAAATTCATTTGATTAAAAGATAAGTGCTTAAAAATAGCTTTAATAATTGTTGATATGAATTACACAAATAATTTGTATTAGATTTACAATCATCAAATTGAATGTCATTCTGGTGAAAGGTGTACAGAATTGAGACTAAGGTTGTGTAAACGCAAGTTGTACCAAAGGTGTCTTGCCTTTTTAAAAGAGTCACTAGCTCTCTCTGATGCTTACAGTTTAGTTAGACACTGTCTTTAATCACTTCTCCTTTAATCTATCTATCTGTCTACTCCTTAAATCTATGCCATAATGAAGACTATCTAAGATTTGGTGAATAATAAGAAAACTTCCAACCTGTCCAAATGGTAGTTATGTCTAACAAACTTTGCTATTTCTTGATAAGATGTATGGTGTAGTTCCTACAAATATTTCCTTAGTTTGTCAAATATTCGCTACATGCAGTACTTTTTAAAAACCACTGGAAGTATCACTGCTACTACACAATCTTGGCTACAATATACAGGGTGTTTCGGCCCCTGGACTATATTGTTAAGACAATAATAGGTTTTTTACATACCTCAGTCAAATAGGTTTTGTGGATATATTTTGTGGACTTGTTCCTTAGGCTAAGACAAACATAAAATGCCTTATAAGTATGGGTCTAAAATGCCTAGATTCTGTCTGTCGGTCTGTTTGTGATTTTTTAAATTATTTTATATCTTAGGCATTTTTCAAGATATAAATTTCAAAATTGGTATAAATGTGTGTCAAATCTAATGAAAACTGTAAATATTAAGAAAACTGTTTTTATGATTGAAAAGATAGGAAATTTAAATCCAAATCAATTGAGGCCTTGTTTGTTAAAATCGCATGACAAACAACCGAGTTATCAGTTTTTTCTACATTCGGTTATACAATATAAGAGTACTACCATACTGCTCTTAAGTTAGGTCCTATTAAATTGCGTAGCCGAATGTATAAAAACAATTTTCATAATATTTACGGTTTTCATGAAATTTGGCATTAAAGTTTTTAAATGGCCGCCATATTAAAATGGCTTGAGATATTGGAACGAAAAATTGTTAAGTTCTTTTTACCTTCTGAACTACAAATTTATACCAGTTTTGAAATTTCTATCTTGAGAAAATGCCTAAGATATAAAATATTTTAAAAAATCACAAACAGACCGACAGACAGAAATCTACGCATTTTAGACCCATACTTATATGGCAATATGGTATTTTATGTTTGTCTTAGCCAAGGAACCATTCCGCAAAATATGTCCAGACAATTTGGAAACACTCTGCATATAATTATTACAAATATGTGTCTTTATTGCTTATGAAATTTGTTCATATCTTTATTGATGTTTAAACAGTTATAATAACCTAATCTTAAAACAAAATTTCAGAATATGTACTGCTTATTAATTAACGTCATAGAAACTTATTGTTTTACAGTATCATTAAATAAGAAACTATGCATAGTTTCTGTCCTTAGATTGCAAGTAAATGATTATATTATTGACTCATGTTTCAGGATTTAAATTTAGTGTCTGGAAGAAGAAGAGTTATCAAGGCACAAAACAACATAATTGGTGATTGCATTTGCTTTACTTTACAATATTATATTTTTTAGGTTTTAAAACTTTCCAAAAATTTATTATTACTCGGTCCAATTTAATAAATTAATTGTAAATCAATAATTCTGTTATCAATAACTTCTGAACAGATTCTACTTTATACTCAACAATTAAGTAACTAAAAGAATATTTTTAAAATTTTGCCTTTACTTTGATGGGTAAAGTTAGTTATTTTATTTATACTTGATCCATCCAACTGTCCTAACTTTTCCATGTGAAGTTAAAGTTGACTCTATCCTCTTTTCAATCAATTGGGTATAAATACAGTGGCTGACTCCTTTGATCCAGCTACTTTTAAATTTAAATTATCATATGACATTCTCCAGAACAGAAAAAAGATTTAACTACTGAGAAACTATCATATATTTCTCTAAATAGAGGGACCAATAGCTTTTACTGGCTCAAAACCATTACGTTGCAATATAATTACATAGCTAATAGCTATATTAGTGATCGGTGAGACTTGAACCCTGACCTCCAGAATTCCTGGGCATTTGCTTCCATATGTATTAATAAAATTGTCTACATATTAGATTTAACCTTCCTACTCATGACATTTGTATTTTGTTAGTTGCTCAACTGACTTGGTTTTAGCCGATGCAAATAAGATAAATCTAGAAGCACTGCTATACTGAAATAAAATTGAAATCGGATTCGATCACCTCAGCGTCTAGGTGTTTTAATGAACAGGTGTTTGTTATAGTTATCAATGAACTCATAGGTAAAAAGAGAAAAGTAGACTTTCTAAAAACTTGTATTGGTGCTATATACTTCACCAAAAGTATAAATCCAAATCAAAAGCTAGAAATGTAATCAAAGCCATGACTGATTTTCAATTTTAGATGTCAAAACTGAATGTTCCATCTCCAGTATGAATGTGACCTTAACTCTGGAGCAGGAGTTTTCCGGAGTAGTGTACGCCAAAGGGTTCCCTCTGGAGTGCCGGGCCCTGGGCTCCCGGGAGAACTCCGTCAGTCTCCACCTCACAACCTCCGGGTGTGGAGTTAGGATCACTCCTCACAAGGTACGAGAAATTTAGAGTAAGACATGGTAGTTCCTACCGGTATCAACTGCTGATTTTCTGAGAATTTAATTCTGTTGAGCATAAAGCATATAGGACATTCAAAAGCTCAGAATCTTGGGGATACACCTGTAGTAAAAAGGGAACATAGTACAGTACAGTAGCTATATTTGTTCAAAAGTCCACAATTTGACTGCTTTTATGCTCTCTTGTATGATTTAAAAATCAATTTTTAATAGTTTTTTTTCTTTTCTTTGAAATGGCGACCATACAAAGGTAGGTATTTTAAGCCAAGTATGAATGGAGATGAGTGTGGGATGAGTGGCGCGATTTTGTAGTCTTGTTAGTGACTAAGGCCGACATATTCCTTAGACACAGTTGTTAATTAATAGCCCATACAGCTAACGGCAACTAAGGGACCTACAGTTTATAGTGGAATCCGAACCACATTTTTACCTTGGTATTAACGAATTGGTCTAATTATCAGGATAGCACTGCGCATAGTCGTAGTACTCACTAGTATGGACGTTAATCCACACCAGGGAGTATCACATTCACAGTGCATGCCTATAAATATCCACAATTCGTGACCTCCTAGTACAGTAGCTGGATTACAGGACGACGCCACCGTCTTAGTCATAAAATGTCGTGGCAGTTTTGGTGTCCCCATAGCTGTAAACATCAAATTTTGGGATTTCTACCCTATATTCCTTTGTTTAAACGTCTGTTGCGTCCATCAGTATCATCGCAAGATAGAGAGCACTTTCAGTCACTAATTTTAACGATCTACAACTTTGTAATTAAAATTTGTTTCCTAACTTCACTCCTTCACCCCCGAATTGAGGCTTCTTAATTACCTTATTATTCCATTTTTTTGTGGTTTTGGCTGCTCCAGAGAAGGTAAACAAATGTTTTGGCAAGTTTAACATTATTTCTTTTAACATATGTCAAGTTTATTCTCAGCTAATTTGAGGATTTCTATTCACCCTTATTAACCCTCAAAATTGGGTTAATAGATAGAAAAATAGTTTAGAGTTTAGTAAGATAGATTTTAAATTCTTTTTTTTTATAAATTTTGTTTCTTTACCCAGGATGGAGGACTACTATACAGTGTGATGGTGGTGGTACAAATGGCTAAGCATTTACAACAGGTAATTATTTGAAATACTGTCAATATTTTACTAATATGAATAATAAACAACAAATTATTCATAAACCCTTTGAATACTCATATTCACTTAAACATATGCTTAAGATTTTCTGTCAAAAAATGTATTTCAATGATAACAAATAGTTAGCCAAACAAAGGAAAATGACATTTTGGTAAATAAAAAATTGAAAATTTTTGTTATATAACTTGTATATAAAAGTTATAAAAAAGTTTACATTTTAATAAGTGAGACATATTTAATATTGTACTTCAGTACTTTTTGTTAATAGACATTTAATTTTAAATTGGACTGTTTTTAGGAAGCTGCATATTTCAGTTTGAAAACTGATATCTCTACAATGGTAAAAACATACTATTGGAAAATTTTCACAGAATAAAAATATTCTTAAAGGTTGAAAGAGTTTTTGACGTAGTATTAAAATTTTCAAAATGGTTGCCATATTGGAAAGTGGTAGCTAAACTTGTAAAAAAATAATTCTAATTTCAATCAGAAGTAGAGGGGTATAGGGATTATGAATTTCTCAAAAAATGATTTCTTGGATATCCTGTAGCTTATTGTGTTTTAAGGTATCTGATCCTATGATTCCGGTAAGTTGCGTTCTGACTCAAGATAAAATGGTTCTTCATTCGCATGCACTGCAAGTCAACAAGGCTAAAACCAGGTAGGTTTTGGACATGTTTTTCACGGTTTCTAATATTTTTCTTATATTTCCACGATGAAATTAGTTTGGAAATTATATTGTTACAAATTTTAAACTACAGAAAGGTTTAATTGAATCCAAAGTCAGAGTGAAAATAGCAAGTAGAACTATATAATACTCAATATATGCCTCATTTATAAATACATTTTTTTCTATAATTCTTTCATAAATCCCCATAACAATACAATAAATCATGTAAAATTTTGTGATACAAGATTTTACACTTAGATTAGAATTTGGTATGTATTTTTATTGTCAAGAGCAAACAGCATAATGCTGACTTAATATATGACTCAACTTCTCATATGGATGGGCATAGGGAAAGTGTGAGAGTGCTGCTTAATAATTAGAGTGAAATTACGGAGTTACTGTGTGCAGTTCCCGTACCATTGTACCATCTCAATTGGACTCCACAAACCATGTGAAAAGAAAAATACTTATTACTGTTACGTCTGCATAGTTGTGTGGTGTTTAATTTATTTTAAAAGATTTCTCTTGGGTAATTAAATTACAAATCTTGTCTTATTCAATATTCTTTACTTGGAAAAATAAACAATTTTGTATATTGAAGCATTGGTGTACAATTGAAGGTTATGGAGAAAATTTCACAAAAAATGTCCATTTAAAAATTCCCATGTCGTTTCTAATGGAGGAAATGTAAACTGTTGTAGTTTGCTTGTTTATATTTTGATTGAATTTGGCAATTTTTATTTCATCCTATACTATAAACATTTAATAAAAATACACTTTCTCCCTTGCCTGTAGCAGCAAACCTAAGTAAGCTGTTGGTAAAATCTAATATTACCTAAATGAGGAATAAATCTGATAAGTTTAAGGTGATATTTTTAGTAAATATTAAACCAGACAAAATAAAATTTGCTAGTCTGTGCATTTTACAATGTATTGTAATTTCAGACATTAAGTTTGAAAGTATTTGTTTTGCAGGTATATAAGTTGAATTTTATTTTTATAAAAGTAGACAAGTTTTTTATTTCCAGAAATATTGGGAATTGTATTTTGAAATGAGAACTTTGATTGAGAAGAGACAATTAATTGCTATCCAAAATAGCTGTTTTTACAATAATTTTCACTAGCATAGTTTGTTTCTTCTTCTGCCTATTAAAATAAGTTCCACTTTGCATTAATCATTGAAATTTGAAGTTTTACAATAACTTGAGTGTTTTTAGGTTTTTTTCTTTAAGAAATACATTTGGTCTTAATGGTCTACAGGGTAGGCCGAATGATGCTTCCTCAAGATGAACCCCAGCCACGGGCTTGGCTTGAGATCCAGGGATCGTCAGATCAAAATCAAAACACTGTTAGTGTGGGAGAACAGACCACAATCCTCGTCAAAACATGGCTTCCAGGTCAGTAATACCATTTGTTGATTGTTATCTTCTGGTCTCTAACTATTAGTCCCTAAGGTCATATCTAAACCTCTGAGATTTTAATTACTGTGTTTTGTTAATCTCCAATAAAGGACTAAAAATAGTGCTGGAGCTTAAAGATACACAACGAAAATTTAACCAACTTTAATATTTTATAAATCATCCTACATGTTTTATTATATGTTTTGTGTAAAATCAGGGGTCACAACCCTACCTACCTTCATGTATTTTGTATCCAAAATGGTGGATCCAAGATGGCGGCCAAAAATGTTAACTATAAAAATGGAGTACCATTGATTTAACAATGTTATTTGGTAGTAGGCTGTTGATATCTGAAGTATTATTCGAAAAATATCATCAAACATAAAATAAACATGCCAAAAAATCTTGTCACTAAAATTGTAATAGCTTCAAAACGAAAATAGATATTAAAACACTGATTGCAGCATTGAATTCAGTATTGAAAAAAGTGTTAAAAAAGGGGTCACATGCTTACCTTTACATAAAAAATAGTTGTATCCAATATGGCGGATCCAATATGGCGGCTCAAAATAGGTACCCACTAAAAATGAGGTACTGACTATCTAACAATGTTTGGGTGTGGTTTAGGATTGATAATTTAAGAAATGTTGGGATAAAAGTAGGGGGGGGGTTTAAAACTCCACCCTGTATTAATCCTACAAGTTTGGCGGTTCTAAGGTTATGGTAATCGTTCCCACACTGGAAAACTCATGACTAAAGTATACCACAAATCATAAATTATTTGATAAACATATAAATCTAATAGAATGCAACTTTTTTATATTTGCACGTCTAACAGAGGGTTGAATTATATGATCATTTGCTATCACAGAGAACATCAGCTGTCAAGTAGTGGACTGTTTGGCTCACGATGGACTGGGAGAGACATCTCAGGTCCTGATAGACTCTACAGGTTGTCCCGTGGATGAGATGATAGTTCCTAGACTCACAGCAGAGCCACAACTCTCCGAGGAGTCTGAGGGGTTCCAATTCACAACCCTTTCTACGTCCTTCCCAGCCTTCAAGTTCCCTGACAGAGAATCTGTGCATATTCGCTGTGGCCTTCAACTTTGTCTTCATAAATGCCACGAGGTACAATTGAATACCATAAGAACTATTTTTGGGATTTGTTTAATAAACAGTAGCATGATTGAGTTTGCCTTTGACATCTTTGTGGTTGTATGGTTACCCACCCCTAGAGATACTTCATGTTTAGTACAGAGACCCAATTGTATGAAGCTTTGTTTCATAAAATTTGTTTAGGCTATCTCAGCCAAAAGCTGGAAACAACCTCCCACAGGAGTATGGTCAAGTGAGAACAGTTATTAAGCAACGTATATATTTGTATTTATATTTGGATTGATCACCAATAACTAGAATTTTAATTTGAAAAAAATTATGTAAGGGAAGTAAAACTCAAACCAGAAATTTATATAATTTATTTATGAATTGCACAATATGAATAGTTGTCCTCTCAAAGGTAACATTTCCTTCAGACCTTAAAAAATTAGTACTTTACAATTAGCATTTCCAGACATATATAAATAAATTATTGAATATGTAAAAAAAATCCTGGTATTTTCTAGTTAACTGTATATTTCGTGGAAAATTGTGTCATTTGTAAGTAAATAAGCAAAACCAAGAGAAATTTTGAATTCAAATAAAAACTTTCAATACTCACACATTTTTTCTGTTTTGTAATGGCACACATGTTCATACTGTACCATTTGTTTTCTGAAGCATTCCTCCTTTTTTTATTTGTTCATCAAAATCTTCAATCACTTTATTTCCTCCTTAAGTGGGAAGCGGGATAAAACTTCCCTATTTTCTTAAGATTTGCTACTTCTTCTTCTTCCTCCTCCTTAAGAGGCAATGCTTGTCCAGCTGTTTCATTAACTCGGATCTCGGATTATATCATTCTGTAACTGTCCTCCACAGCTCCTCGCAGTACAGTACCGTCAAGGCTCCTGTAGCAAAAAAGATAAAAAATTACCACGGTGCTGGAGTAAAACATATTTTTTTACTTAAATTCACAGTTGTTATGAACAATTATAATTGATTGTTTTATGGTTTTGGCAAATTTTCCATACAGGGAATAAGCTACTTCCATGCAGTAAACCGATTTACTTTTTGGGTTTTATGACCTCTGATGCCAATGACATAAGAAAGGACATATTTTAATGAAAATTTAATGTAAATTAAAATTCGCTTAGTCTGCAGGTTTGCTACAGCAGAGTTATCAGTTAGCCACCAACTATTTAAAACCACAAAAAAGACATAGTAAATACGCTTTTTTTTCTTGGTGTGAACAAAGTATAGTAGGTGCCATAGTGTTTTTTACCATAAACACATAACATAAGGTCAACTTAATTTAAACAATTCTTAAAGAATATATGAGTATTTTAGTGATTAATCAAGTGAGAAGTAAAAGAAGTATTGATCACGCCACAGCATAGAGTAAAAAAATATATCTAAATTTAAAGCGCTATGGATAAATTTGTAATACAATGTAAAGTAATTAAAGATTACCCATCTAAGCAAGTTAAAATAATTCCTTCATTATTTAAATTTCCAGGCTGACTGTTCCCCAGACTCAAGATCAAGACATAGACATGAAAGGAAATTAAAGGTAAGAGGTTACAATTTACCGAAGCAAAATTTTAAATTTTAAGGTTTAAAATTCCAAGATAATATTGGATGAAATTGGATATTTTGGATTTGAGTAGCCTATTAATTACCTTAATCAATCCAAACCATTTTGTGTGATGTTTTTAGTCGCGATGTGTCAAACCCGAATCACATCTCAAAACCATCAAAACTTTTGAAAAGTTTCAGTTTCAAGATTCGATCACCGAGTTTCGAGATTTAAAAGTTTTGAAATTGAAGATTTTAGCAGTTTTATTTTTGAAACTGCTAATATTTGTCTGCGTCATTATTATTGTTTTTAACACTGTTTTCACACGAGCTGGTAGCAATAGAGCAAACAGATCACCATTAATGGTAGTAATGAAACAAGTAAATTAATTGTATTCTGAACTTCAAAAGTCATCTTAAATAACTGGAACAACATACAATACAATTCAGTTTCATAACAATATTTACAAACAACAAACTATCGACCACTAACTGTTCTAATTAATCTTATATTCATGTTGGTGTCAGGAGTATAATTTATTTGATATATATACTATATACTATATATATATATATATATACTATATACTATTTTATATATTTTATACTATAATGTAGGTTGTTTATAAATAATTATGGTGTTTTGGGTTTTAAGTTTATCAGTCACATTTTTACGTTATTATGTCATGGTTAGGAGTCAATCGTTTTAGTTTTTGATTGCATACTTAACATTCAATTATTAACTGTATTGTTTTGTAATGTCCCACACAGTTAACAAACCAATGGACCAACGGTTAGTTGGTTTGCTTGGCTTTGTAACCAGCCAAGTAAAAAATTTGTGCGTTCAGGGTTTGAAATTCAAGATTTGGGATTCGATTTTTAAAGTTCCGGTTTGGGTTTTGAGATTCGAAATTTATGGTTTTGACCATCACTAGTTCTTAGGTTTCAAAAAAATTATTACATACTCTGAGAATTATAATTATTATGTAAATGCCCTCTCAAGTTGCATCATCTTTGACTCATTTGCATCAATTGTTTCTGTGATTGTTTCAATTGATGAAGCACTAAAAATTAAAATAAAATGTCAACTAGACTATCGCCAAACGATAACAGTACACTAATGGTTTGGTTTAAAAATACCGTTATTACAGTATTTTTACAACAATATAATCAAAGTAATAAATACTGTCTATTTGCTTCAGGTATAGGTGCAAAACATCTATGAAAATATGCTATTTAAGCCTTTATTAATTTTCTTTTAGTTAAAATGTATATACAAGTTTAAAATATTTATTGACAACCTGAACCTTAACCAATCAATACTTTGAACAGCACACAAGGGACTCTACCCCCTGGGTGTACTCCATCAGAATATTATACTTTAATCCACACCAGTAGATTGAATATTTAATCTGTCTCTTTCTGTTTTAGGGCGAAGAAGGTGAAGTATTGGACTACATCCAGCTGTTCAATAGTGTGGAGGTATTGGCTCCTGGCATAGAGATGGACGAGTACAACAGATTCCACCCACAAGGTATTAGAAAGTTTTGTTGTGTTCAGGGTATTTGGCTATACTGTACTAAATCCTCAGGTTAGGAAACGTAACTAAATATATAGGGTGTATATAAAGTCCCGTGCAGGCTTAATATTTTCCAAACGACAACAGATAAATCAATAAGATTTGTTACAACACCTAAAAATCTTCTTTTTGAAAGAACTATCAATTTTCTGTCATATCATGGGAATGTCCCTGAAGGAGTCAGAAGGAAATCTTAAATAGAAGCATAGGTTGATATGTACATCTAAGTAAGGCCTTTACTAGCAGAGTATAATGCCACAAATTTGAACTGAAACGGACAACTGAGTCAAAAAGGACAGCAGTTCAAAGATTCATTGAATTTGCAATGCTACCTCATCAGGGGCAGCTGCTAGGAATCGGAAGAAAATCGTAAACGTAAGCATTGGTCGATATGCACATCAAATTAAAGGTATTTTTTAGTAGATTGCAATGCCACAAATTCAAGCTCAAAAGAACAACTGAGTAAAAGTTTGCAGCCGTTCAAAGATTCAAAATAGCAGATTCAAGATATATTTGAACCGCTACCATTTTTGACTCGGTTGTCCGTTTGAGTTCAAATTTGCAGCATTGTATTCTTCTAATAAAGCATTCTTCTTCTAATAAGTTATAGTTTAGAAAATATTAAGCCCATGTGGGACTTTATATACACCCTGTATACTAGAACACATGCTCTACACATTATTGGAACCGTCAATGCATTAAGGAAAGAACACTGGACCTGAAATCCCTAAATAGGAGGATTTTAACACAAAAATTCACATACAGTATATAACTCTTGAACACATAAAACAAAAGACTGGAAAAGTTGAATTTGTGGTTGGTACAGTAAAATAGTTTATTAGCCAAAAGGCAGTTAGTTTATACAGTTTCAAAAGGGGTTGAGAAATTAGTGATATACACAGCTCCAGTTCAGAAAAAAAATGTTAAACTGAAAACTTGATAAGCCATGACTGATCTTTTTTTAAGATGCAACCACATTGTCTTTCAAGTAGTCATGTTTCTTCTTCATAGTATAGCGAGTTTCTGGAAAGTCCAGAAATAACTATGCATTTCATGATATTTTTGTATAGAATACAGTTACTTTAAAGGTGACAAAAATAGTCTCCAATACAGAGTTGTATTTAGAGTTTAAGAAAGCAAAGATTCACATAAAATCTGATAAATATAAGCATTTAAAGAGAGTAAATATCTAAATAAGAAACAGACTTCCTTGATAGAGTAGCTTAAAAATCATATGGTATGGTTTAAAGTGCAATATCTGGTGTTCAACAATTCGCTTCATTTACACAAATTGTATTCCTCTTTGTGTTTCTGTTTCTATACAACAAGTTGTTATTATATGCATTTCAACACACTAAGGTTATTACTCTGTGCATTTACCTAAACTAAGATTACTCTGTGCATTTCAGACAGTGGAAGTGGACCCTTCCCCCCAGATCTGCTAGGGATGGAGTTTGGAGACGCTCCCTTCTGTTTGTCGGCATCTCGCATGGCTGTGGCGTTTGCTGCCCTAGGGATGGTATTTCTTGCCGCAGTCGCTGTATCGTTGTACGTCTTATTGCGCAACCGGCTGGTGAAGCAGGTGTACAACCAGAACGACAACTCCAGACTGATGAGTCGAGACAGTTTGTCGCTGATCCTCGGCCAGAACAGTCGAAGCAGTTTATCTGCGTGGTCCTATGGCAGGATTTGATCGGTAATAGCTTGCTTTGGTTTCATTACAAGAACCCAGTGTTGTAGGGGCACAGAAACAGATGGTTCTGATAAAGTGTGTTTCCACACACAATAATGCCATATAAACTCTAAAAGCGTTGCTATTGCTATTGGAAATTGTTCAACTTCACTACAAAAAAATCCTTAGAAGAAAATTATTTAACTTGAAGAAGAACAGTTTCCACTAAGGTACTGGTACCCTAATCCAAGAGAGCTATTTTTTGCAATGTGTACTAGTAATTCAGTGTTCACTACAAAGTAGAAGGAATACTGTATTTTTGTTGAAACTAGTATTTCAAGAACATTTTTTGGAGCTAATTTAAAAAGGAATTGTTAACATGTTGTGGATGCAAGTTTTTTTCCGTTAGAGTCTTTTAGATGGAACTTTTAAATAATTGCAGAGGTTTTTACTTGTTTGTGCCATTTTGTATGAACCATCAAAATGATTGGTAAATCGTTCTCTTTACCTACTTAATAATTAATTCCTACAATGATGACTTGACATCTTCAATGAGAGTCAGAGACGTTTTACTGTATTTGTTATTTTTAGTTTTATCTAAAGCTATAGGAATATAATTTTGATTGTGATTATTCCAATTAAATTAGTACACGTTTAGTACTTTTGCATTAGACTTTTTGGTAAAAGCATAGCCAAGATCGAGCTAAGATAGCTTCTTCAAAATTGTTCAACAGTATATCCTTTATGTACCATTAGCACAAAATATTTCAGTAACTAAGTACAGTAAACATTATTCATCCATTTTGTTTGACTAAACACCTTAATTTATAGATATTTATTTTTCAGATTCTCTTTTCTAGAGTATTTTCAATGGAGCTGTGATAAAATGTGAGCCCTTTAGTAAGTGGAAAATAAATTTTAGCTTCTTTTAACAATCACGCGTATGACACAAATTTAGGTTTCAGAAGTTAATTGAGCAAGATTATGTATTAACCAACCATCTAACTAGCATATATTGTTTAAAACTACCTAAACCTACATATTATAACCTATGTAAAATTAATTCATCCTAGGTACCTTACCTTTATCTTAGGGTTCATCTGGTGTCCCGTATGATTAGGTGACCTACCAAACCCTTAACGATTTATAGAGAAGAATGGATCATAGGGTGCTTTCATAGGACCTTGCAGGAGTTGCAATCTAATAATACGTTTGTGGATGAGAGGGGGTGGAGGGCAAGCAAAGCTAAGACAACAACTGGGGCCAAAATTCACCAAAACAGTATTTCTACAGAAAGCGTCCTCTGGTCCTTTCTTCTTTTTGAAAGAAGTAATTTTTGCTAGTACTCAGAACTGCTTCAGGGTTGAAAGGGAATAAGGTAAATTATAAAGTAATGTATATAACAGCGGCAAATATAGAATCAAATACCATAAGAGGTATTATCAGAACAACAAGTTTTTTTGTATAATCTTAACAGTAGATCATCATCTCACAAGACCTTTTACAACAATTTTTATTGAATTTGGTAAGGAAATAACATTTTCCTTCTCATGAATCTTTTGTGCATCCATACATTTTATACTAAAGCCATGTTAAGTTAAATATTTGGTTTAGCTTACAAAATATTTTCCTTTTGAACTTACGCTTACTCTAAGTAAAGTAAAATTTGAAAATATTTTATGAACAATTTCTTACGACAAAACCAAACAGTAAATTTAATACCGTGACTCTTTTGATAAATCTTATTTTTACAACCTTATGTCAGGCTTATAACAGTCTAATTCCATAAACCGCATAAATTTTTATACTTTCTTCAGGTAAATTATTTGTATACTTATCATATTTGGTAAACCACCAAACAGCTTCCTTAACATGGTTTCAATAGTTGTCGCTACAAATTGTATGAGCTTAGCTTTTTAATGTAGTTATGTGGTGGTTTAGTAATCATGTGGTACATTGGTTTCGGCTTGGGTAAGATGATAAAGAAGTACTTGTAAATATCTTACATATGAAAATATTTACAACTATTTCTTTTGGTTTATTTAGATTGTAGGTTAACTAATTTTGTTGGTTTTAGTTAAGGTTCTTTATCTGTGATAGTTTTACATCTTATACTGGTAATTAAAATTTTGTTTTTACAAGATGGTTTCATTTACTTGCAATACCTTTGTGTAAATTATCTGTTACCATTATGTTTCAATCATAGCACTAATTTTGTATTGTGGTTTTACTGATTGGAACCTCTGCAAATTTTTGTTTGATTACAACAACTGTGTGCTTCATTCAGATATCTTCTGATTTATACCATAGACAAAAGAATTAAAAATAGACTAACAGCAGTGCTGCTGTTAGCATATATTCTGGCGTGCACCGCTAGGAGTGCCGTGTAGTTTTGGCGCACACCGCTGTAGCATCAAGCGCTAGCTAGCGTTGCCATGACAAGTTGGTAGTTGGAGGGCTACCAACTGCATGAGAATTCCCCATAATCCGGGGAGTAGGAGTTTGTTCAGATATTTTTTCATATTTTAAAAAATTACGGAGATTTATGAAAAAATTGTCTTCTTTGTTAAAACTACAGGATTTCAGATTTTGTACTTTTCCCATATTGAAAAGTGGGTCTGATACGTTGGTAGCATTTTGTCTGCGAGGGTGGTAGTGCTGGTAGCAGATGGTGAATCGACAACGGCAGTGAATCGTCGAACACTGAGTACGCTCCAGCGGCACATCGCGGAACCTTCCTTTGTCAATTTATATTTAATTCTTCTGTATATGCTTATACTGACAGACAACGCCAAACCATTCTTTACTTGAAAAATACAAAACATGATAGTCATTACAATGCTTGATCTTTATGTAAAAGTCACCAGACAATGAGATGCAATACTTCATTAAAAAAATTTTGCAAGTATTGATCTGCAACTTTGGAGGGTTTGCCAGTCTGAAGCAGAAACTATGAGGGGCAGTGAGCTGCACAAAAACAGAGAGGTGATTGGTGGAATTTTATGGTATGAGAATATTATTGAGTTTTAGACCCCGGGCACGATACGAAGCGCTAAGCGTCAAGCGTCAGGTGTCAGAGCGGCACGACTCTGCCACCGCTCTGCAATCAGGACCCATATGTTGCCATGCAAATTTGAAGAGGGGTGTCACGATAGACCTGAGCGGTGAGCGACAGTAAGTGCACTTAGCTTGGAAGGCACCACCAAACCCTGCCCAATTAACTTTTGTACGCCGCTCGACGCTCAGATGAGTCATGCTTCTTATCACGGTTTTCAGTCTAGATCAAGATATCAGAGGAGCAAGAATCACGTGGGCCTCCAGTCAAACTTAAGAAAAAGGACATTGATGCTTTGAAAATGCGTAGTGGAACACAAATTGAGAGTATGATATGGGAAGTTATGTGTTGTTCATCATTATGGAATGATAACGACAACAACTTCAAGAGCACTAAGTTCACAGGGAAGCTGTGGGATGAAGTGGGAGCAGTGTTTGACATGTCAGCCAAATTATTAAAATAAATTCAAATCATCAAAATATGGTATTTTTAGGGACTTTTTCAACTAAAAAGTACAAGCCACTCTAACGCCCCTTGTATCGTGACCACCCTCGACGCTCTGTTGACCCTCGAGTGCCGCTCGACGCTCCCCGCCCGTATCGTGCCCGGGGCTTAATGTTAAAATTATATAATCTATGTATTTTATTTTTTTTAACACCAAATAGAGTGTAGAAGTAATAGGATCATAGCTGTGTTACTGAACATAAAGGCTGATTTAATAGTGAGGAATATTTTCAATGACAGTCTAAGCAAGTATAGTTTCAGGTCCTTTTTCGAACTTTCAAAGGTGATTTTAAAATGTCTTGATACTTGGATACTTACTTGGATACTTGGAGAATTCCCACTGGTATCGCATCAGCGACGTGGTCGTCAGGTTTTTATACATTTCTTCATATATATTTATATAGATGGATTCATTTCCTCTTCAAGATTGTACATGGCCTAGACATATATCTCATCAACACTGTAGTAGGCCACTTGACTTAAGAATGTTTTTAGCAGGTTCTTGAATTTGTTGACAGAGGGCTCTTGTGTGATGTACTGAGGCAATTTATTGTAAATTTTTATACTATTGAAGTAAGGGCTCTTGCTTGCAAGGGTGGAATTTACTTGAGGTACATGTGGATTTGTTGCTCTTCTTGTATTGTAATTGTGGACCATGCTGTTTGTTACAAAAATATTGGGGTTCTTCTTAACAAGCAATGCGGATTCCAATATAAAGAGGGACGGAAGTGTGAGGATGTTCAGTTCTTGGAACAAAGGTTTACAGTGTGTCCGTCTATGGACTCCACATATTCTTCTAATTGCACGCTTTTGAAGGATGAAGATGCGTTTTGCCTCACTACAACCACCCCAAAATACCAAACCATATGAGATTATGCTATGAAAACAGCCATAATAAACCTTAAGGAGAATCTCGATGTCAACCAGCTTTTGAAGTCTAAACAGCAGGTAGGTGACAGATGACAGTCTGGGCGCTATTGCATCGACATGTGTTCCCCAATTTATAGCAGCCTTAATATTTATGTAAGCACTGAAACCATACCAGTAACAGCAACAATTTAGCTGGTATAACGTTCATTCTGATGGCAACATAAATCAAAGAAGGCATTGCCATCTCCATTGAGTGTGCACTACTTGAAAATAAGAGATGAGTTCATATAAGCGATTGTTAGTGACTGTTTTGTTTTAATATGATAATATTGATTTTTTTTTTGTGAATTAAAATCTGAAGAATTGTAAGCCATGTTCCAAATTGTACAAAAGAAGAGAAAGTGAGATGGTGTAAAAGTTATATTAGTTTGTAGGAATCTGCTTTTTGTCAAGTTAAGTTCAATGAATGCTTCTGACTACCTAATTAGGCAACAGTTTTCAAACCTTGCTATAGGCTACTAAAGAAAGACTGTTCTGCAGAACTAACCAACCAAAAAAATAATCCAATTTCCAGGTACAGTTCCGTTCCTTAGAGAGAAAGATTGTATTGAATTTAGTCATACCATATGGTAGGTATAATACAAACAATACCAAAAACATGAACAAAGTTTTTTTTAAATTTTTTATCCTTAGTTTTTATTATTTGTTTTGTAGCTTTTAATTAAACATAATTTGTTTTTGGTAAAATATTTACAGGACCGTCCGAAGGAGGGGGGGGGGCAACCGGAGCAAGCTGCTCCGGGCGCCTTGGCTGAGGGGGCGCCGCACAGCGGCTATTTGTATTAACATAGTATTAAAATATGCGAATGCGACTTTTGCTCCGGGTGCCGCCAACCCTAGGGACAGCCCTGAATATTTATATAGTTTAATTTATTAAATATGTAAAAAAGTAAACAAATCATCATTCAGCTAGATTTTTAAATTGGGGAAAAATAAATAATACAGAGTGCAGCAAAAAAAACCGATCTATTTTTCACAGCGCACTGTTCAGCGACAGGTCGTCTGAGGGTGGTGGGGGTAAGCTTGTTGGAAAGCCTATTCAATGCCATTATCTGGAGTTATAGAGCAGTGGTCACCATAAGCAACACACGGCTCAGCAACATTTCCATACATTCTTTAAATTAGGTCGACATGGAGAGGTTCCCGTGCGATTATCTGTATGGATAAACAACAAAATTAAACAGAGTAATACACATTAATCTGTAGTGATAAGAATTAAGATCGAGCTTCAAAACTAGTTTAACTGAGTGGTCAGACATGTTCAAAGCAGATGTTTGTTTTCGGGCGTGCCTAGGACTGTTTTCCATAGCTGCACGGACTCTATCGAATGTCAGTTGTCTGACGTCCGATCTGACTTTGGACGGATTGTCAGCTTCTTTTTGAAGCAGAAGCCATTGTTCTATCTAAAGTTGGTAACACACCACATGATCGTGCCACTTGAAGGAATCAAAGTTGCCCTAATTTTAAAAAATGCACGGAACTGCCGCTGAACCGAATCATTACTTTTAAAATTTGACTCGATAACAAACGCACGATGCTCAGGTGTCCACTGCTCTATGACCACAGATAATGGCATCTGGTGGGC